CGGTGCGCCGTATATTTTTGGTATCGCAACCGTCTATAGGCTAAGGTGGGTACCATCATGCGCGGCATACAAAAAGTTGTCAAACTATTATGTGATGTCTTCTCTACACGATGGGCCATCGCAATGATCCACTATGATGGGCCAGTGGATGGAAGGCATTGTGGTGCCGGATGGCTTGTGGCATGTGCGATGGTCTTGGAATAGCGTCGGTATCAGTTTTTCGGCCGCACATCAAAAGTGAACCAACGATACGCATCTTATAAGGCCGAAACGTGCAACGAAAAAGGGAAATGTATTAAAATCTATCGATTACATACATAACTCGATTAGCTGTTCGGTTATTTTATATGCATTCGATTGTTTTATATATACATATTGTATAGACAAACATGATAACATATGAAGGTAGGTTTCGGCTTGTTAGAGTGTTTACCAAACACTTTGTATATATGCCATAATATATATGTATAATACCTACATAAAATGATATCATATTCACAGGCTGACTAAATACTCTAGTATAGTAGTTCATTACTACGTTGCGGTAGCAATACCTACCTTAATTACTGACACACAGAGTAAATACATTGATATTATTGCTACAATGAATGCCACTGCACACAGTAAGATATTTGTACTGTGACTGCGATGAAAGCATAGACGAAATTATGTGGCCTACCCTTTAAGTATCATCATCAGCAGGCCCCACTGCAGGGGCACAGGCCTTCCCTATGAATGGAATAGGGAGGCCGGACTATATAGACTGTGCAGATTGGCGGGTGCTAACGACTACAGATGCTCTCACACAACAATGGCGGTATAAATTAAACCTTAATAGATGTTTGTAATACATTTCCTTGCAAATGAAACGTGACCCTTTGTTAATGGTACTGGTCGGAATGTAATGTGCTGGTGTCAAAGCGAAATGACACTGATTGGCTCATAATTTAGGATAAGGATGAAACTCAATAGGTAACAAAGCAAAAATTTTAACGACCGGCTCGTGTTACGAAAGCACCCTGCTTTCTGCTCCAAAGGACCTGGGTTCGAAATCTAGTATGGAAAAGACAATGGAAACTTTACCACGGAAATATTACCCACGGTATACATAGATGAATCATGTATTATTTTAAAGCGTGAGACATTTAGGTGTCTCTGATTAAGGTGCATTATTATTGGTTATGGGAATATTGAGATATTGAAAAATATTTTTTCTTAATTTTTATTTTAACGATGATATTATGTCTATACATTACAGTAAAACAATAAGATGATTTGTTATACTTTGTTTTTAAAGTAAAGTGAAAATTAACTGTACTTTAATTAAGGTACCATTCATGTAGGAAAAGGTTTATTCGCCTTTTGTAGAGCATCATATCATAGTTTTAAGGAAAAAATGGTGAGTAAATGTGGTCCATGTTACAAGGTACAGTCAAACGGAAATATACCCGTCTTTTGAAAAGCACCATATCATAGTTGAAAGGAAAAAATGGTGAGTAAATTTTGTCAAAGTAACAAGGTTAAATATAACGGAAATATACCCGCCTTCTAAAGAGCACCATTCATAGTTTTAAGGAAAAAATGGTGAGTATATTTTGTCAAAGTTTCAAAGTTCAGTCAAACGGAAATATACCCGCCTTTTAAAGAGCACCATTCATAGTTTTAATGAAAAAATGGTGAAGAAATTTTGTCAAAGTTTCAAGGTTCAGTCAAATGGAAATATACCCGCCTTTTAAAGAGCACCATTCATAGTTTTAATGAAAAAATGGTGAGTAAATTTTGTCAAAGTTTCAAGGTTCAGTCAAATGGAAATATATCCGCCTTTTAAAGAGCACCATTCATAGTTTTAAGGAAAAAATATTGAGGAAATTTTGACCAAGTTTCAAGGTACCTACAGTCAAAAGGAAATCTAGATAAGCAGCAACGTGTCAAGCCCAGTTGACAGGAAAAACGAACTAGTGACGTAGCATCCATGTGTATATTACAAAAACCATTTTTGTAATATACAGATTTTGACCCCTTAATAACTTAAAATTTGTGCAACAAAAACATAAACATGTGTTAAAACCGCTTATTAAAGGTTTCAGCTCCGACATGAGTGTCATATCCTACTATTCTACTTATATTATAATTGATAAAGTTTGTGTTTATATTTTTTCACCCAATTACGAAAAAACTTAAAACTAACGCGGACGAAGTCGCGAGCGACCGTTAGTGGCTATTATGATTTAAATCCCTGGTCTTTTATTAAATATTAAAATAAAGAGCTTTTAGGAAATGAGCAGCAAAAATCTCACAGTAGTGACACAATTATAAAAATAAATTAACTCCATTTATGTAATCGTGTGAAAGGAAACGCTCAATATACGAAATTAAAGGTCAATTACCTTAATTTGGCAACTATCTATGTTTTAAATAGTGCCAGCAATTAATCCAATTGAGCTTTTTAACTTATCAACGAAACGAAACGGTTGCGGATTTTGGCATACGCACAGAAGAGAACGATCTCTTCTGAGTACACTCCAATTTAAAAATTTTTCAACAAAAGCGCAGGAGAAATATATATTTCTTTTAGTGGAGACCTATTAAAAATCCTTTCTTTAGTGAGTGAGTTTAGTTTAGCTTTTAAAACGGAACATTTAAGCTATTGAAAATATCAAATACTCAAAGAGTTATACTTATTTAAAGAGACAAAGATATAATTTACAGCTCTCCCGCATTTTGATAAAAAGAAATTCAGGGTCCTTTTTATATTTGTCTGATGGTGACCTATGTTGACCTGGCGTGAAGTTATATAATTGAGACATAACATAAGGGCAGGATTTTGGCTCGTCGGCTATCGAAGAACTACCCCCGACCAACCTTAGCACATTCATATGTAAATGACCATAGTGATAAACCCAATAGGACGTTTCAGGCGAAGGAAGGTCAAAACAAGGTCATAAATAGTCTGCCATAGATGTTAGGAAAGATTGTGGTTTACGTCATGTTTTCGTGCGAACAATAGTATTATCCGATTATTACATGTCATGTTCCTAGTTAGAGTTTTGCTAAATCTTATGTAGCTATATAAATGCATGATTATAAACATTCCTACATTACTTAAATTACATAGATAAACTGTTAAAGTACCTGGGGAACTGAAAAGATACATTACTAGTTCGATTGAAGATGGCGTGCCTAGAAAGTTCGCATTTAGAGATAAGTAGAACCTTAAGAATATTCATACCTATTTACATAAACATTTTTACAAATCAAGTTACCCAGACAGACAATCAAACATTGTTAAATACTGAACTGAAATCATTTTCCCTAATCTGTGGATCTTTATTAATTTACTAATTATGATCTGCGGGTTCACCCAATTTGATTTGAGGAAACCTAATTGAACACTATAATTATAATAAATAATGAGTATAAGAGGTTCTAAGTAAGTCAACGTTAAAAGATAAACGTACTTATATTATCACATCTACACATTATATATACAGTGCCGAACTTTTTTTAAAACTTTTAAAGGGGAATCCGTCATACATGACTTTTTCATAAATTTAACAGTTCAGGTACGTAGAGCACTTAACGGACGCCTCAATGATTTTTTACCCATTTTTCCACATCTAGGCTGCTCTCAGTTTAGTTGTAGCGAGGTGTAACATATTCTTCCTCGGTAAATGTACTATCTAACACAAATTTTCATTTAATTTGAATTGCTTCCATTTTGTTGTTTGATAATTTAGGATATGAATAATTTATTTTAATGTTAAATTCAAGCGGGCGCCCGGGACTTTGTTTGCGTGGTTTGTTTGATTCTCCCTCTATTATAATATATGTTATATCATTCGATTCTCCATACAAAGTTTTACCTCCCTTATTACCTTAAAGATTGATTTCCCGGGACTCAAACTATATGTATACCAAATTTATGACAAATGTGTGACACCTGGTTTGTATAGAAAAAGAAAAGTGTTTCTTTTTATTGCTAACCTATTTTTCGTGCCTTATCATGTTTTCTCGCCATAAAAACCTTCCGTGTGCTTTAAGGAACATATAAAAAAATTGCTGAATTTGTCCAGCAGTTCTCGAGATTCGCGCTTAAAACATTTGTTTTTTTTATATAGATTATTTTCCGTTACATGCCTCTTATCGTTATGTCCAGTCAAATACAGAACAAACGTAGGTACATACCTATATAAAATTATTATTGCAAACATTATAGTGCCAGCCCCACTACGAATTGATCATAGTTTATTTGCAAGGTCGAGATGACATCATAGCGTGCTGGGCCGAAATTACAGCATTTATGAATAACGCTTCAATGGTTTAATGGTTTTCTTGCGTAGATAGTTTCTACTAGATCCATGAAAATAGTATAGGTTTATTAAAGAAAATTACACATACATAAAATTGGTATTAATTAATATAAATAAAAAAATACAAACTTATTGTACCTTTGTTGTATCAAAGTTTCAAAATGAAAAAAAAAGCAAAAACCTTTAGTTTGTATTAGAAAATTAAATCTTTTACCGCTAAAGGTTGAAGAAAACTGTTACTAAATTGAAGAAAGAATAAACAAATACCAAGTCTATAACTCTTAAGCTTTACCCAAAACTTTTTTTTCTTGTTCTAATGTAAATGCAATGATAACGTCCAAAAACAAAGCAACCATCGTGATATAATTTAAAAAAACACGAAAAATACGTTTACGTGCGTACTAGGTACTACAAATATTACTATCAAATATATTTTATTTTAAATCTTTTAACTAAAAGTATTTATAAATCAAAGGAAAATTTAACTTCGTTCAACTGAAAATACTTACAATGGCATATCAGAAAAACAAAGTTTCTAAACAACTCATGAATTAGGTACGCATAATACCGCATAGGCAACATACAAACATGAGACAAGCACTAACTCAAAATCAGAATATAAACTTTTGCCATTCTTTTTACATTGCCATATTTTTAAAAAATATAAGAAAAAAAGGTTTTATAACATACCGATCTCGAATACTGCCAGTAGTACGACGATGCTAAGATATACCGCTGTTCGGGCCATGTTGATGTTTACAGTTTACGGACGGTCGGTTTGTGCGGGTGTACGTAGTAGACTGAGTCTCGGCGCGCCCGTCCGACACAGCGTCGCCGGCATTTTCACGCTCAGTAGGGGGCCCCTGACGTCACCCAGTAGGCAGGACAACATTTTCGCATTGAACTATCATAGGTACCTTAGGTACCATTTACTCATCCGTAGTCATAGTGAATTATAAACAAATGTATTATCGATATCGTCATAATAACGTAAATTATTAATTGAAATGCCACATCATTAAAAATAAAACAGAAAATGATGATGGTAAGGTTGTTAGAAAAAAAAGTTGTTTTTCCGACAGTACGGCGGATGAGGGCTAGGCTAAACTCTGTTATTTTATTAAGAACTAGCGGCCGCCCGCGATTTCTCTTTCTTTAGTTCCTTGAAGAATCCCTCAGTGACCTAATTTTTTTTCGGGATAGAATGTATCCTATTTCTATTACAAACATTCACATTTATAATATTAGTAGCATTCTTTATTATATATATCAGTATAAATCATATTAAGCGCAAATCCTTAGAGGATTCCAAACAAACTCTGCTTGGTGACCTTTATGTTAACAGCGTGACGATAATCTAAATATAGAGTGAATATTACACAAAGGTTTCAAAACAAGAGTGTGCAGAATTGCAAATCCAATGCCGATCAATTTCATTCAACATCATTAGGCCCTGGTTTTATACATTGACAGTGGTTGAGATAAAAACGCAGTTTAAAAAAGATAAAGAGGTAAACCTATGACAAGTGCGTTCATGTAATGAAAGCATAACATTAAAATAAGTTTTAAAATCGTCAGATAAAAGGCAGTTAAACCAACATTATTGATGTTTTGTTCTATAAAAATACATCAACAAATATTTAATCGCATCCTTAAATTCAAATAAAAAAGGACTTCAAAAATGAATAAAACTTATTTTGTGTACACGTTAATTCTGTTAGAAAATGTAGGAACAACAGTCAGTATTTTTGCAATATATTAACCTGATAGCAAAAACAAGATACTAATGATGGTAATTGACCATAGCAATATTCTACTATAGGGAAACAAGAGCAAGTAATTATGTTGGTACATTGTATACTTTTGTGCCTTGTGGTTAAAAATTTAATATTACTAATTTAATGGTTAATCTAAACTGAAACTAAATCTCTTTAAAGTGTCTCACAGACAGAAATACAACTGGCCGCGACCTGCCCTTATTGGTCGCTCGTGTTTGACCACTCGCTTACATTGCAAGCGAATACAAGTGGCTGTCTGTGAGACACTTTAAACTGCACATTTTATATGGCTGTCAGATTTAAACATACATAAAAAATGTTTAAGTAGAACGTATTTTTTATTATTTAATAAATGTTATAAAAATGTTGTACAAAACACAAGTGCGGTCCTGCGTGGAATATTGCTCGCACCTCTGGGATGGCTCCGCAAAGTACTTACTCGATGCCTTGGATAGGTTGCAGCGGCGCGCTGCCCGCATCATTGGCGATGAAGAGGCAGCTAAGAAACTCGAGTCTCTACAATTACGCCGTGATGTGGCATCATTAAGCGCATTCTACCGAATATACCACGGCGAGTGTTCTGAGGAGCTATTCTTGCTTATCCCTCCATCACCTTTTCTTCAGAGGATCACGCGCGCTGGCCTACGTTGCCATCGACTTACTGTGGCCACTATTCCTACACGAACAAAGAAATTTGGCGACTCATTTCTTTGTCGTACTATTCGTAAGTGGAATTCTTTACCCGCGCACGTGTTCCCTCCTTCCTATAATCTGGGGTCCTTTAAGAGAGGCGTGAAGAAGCATTTTTGCGGGCCGGCAAGGTGAGGATGGTTGGTGTAGCAGTTAATAACTGCTGTACCAGCTATCTTCGCGTTTGGACTTTATCACCACTTAACATCAGGTGGGGTAGAGTCATTTGCCTACCTAGTAATATAAAAAAAAAAAAATGCTGAACAAATGCTATTACTTTAAATAGTGACTAGTAATAATAGTAGTAATGTGTGAGCAGCGCACAGCAGCAAATTTAAGAGATTCCTCTGAATAAGACATGTTTGAATAAAAAACTTCTTCCAAAAATGTATAAATAAAAAATGGTTGCGTATACTTATGTATGCACGTGAGAAGTTATACTTCTTTGGCATCATTAGAAATTAGTTTTTAATTGCTTTTTTTTTTCATTGTAATAAATAATTACAATAAAATAATAAAAGGACTGGAAAAGGATAGTCATAACAGTTAATAAAGTTCAGTTTTAATTTGAAAAATTAAATTAATAATCAAAATATTCAATTTAAATGAAAACTACTGAATAAAATTTATTAGCACATATGTATGTAATTCGCACTTGTATGAAACTAAAACACGTTTTGTGAATATGGAAACTAGAAACATGTGGATAAATATTATAAATATGAAAACAGTGATCAGAGACGACGAGAGTGCCAACATGCGCGACTAATAGAGATTCTATTTCTATTTTTTTGAGACTCAATGTGTGGTTTAGCGGACAACTTCATGGTATTACTTTTGTGTTACAGTGATCTTAAAATTTAACTCTCATCATCTTTTCATAACGCGCCTAAAGAAGTATAACTTCAAAAAACTGAGTTGTATTTAATATCATAAACGCAATTAAAATTGGTGATGTTTTTCCTTTTCGTAACTTAGTCAGCTTAAGCAGCACAGAATTGCATACCTAGCCGTTTTGAGGCCATATCATGAGTCGGCTAGAATAATAAACAAGAATATGTGTCAGACCATGAAGTTTCCTTAATCACATACTATATTATACTATTTCATATTATTGTTACTCACAAAAAATTAAGAGACTCACTATACTTGTCAAGATTATAATTTTCGACCTCTGTGACCGAGTGCTATGTAAACCGGGTTTCAAGGTGTCGCTACTCAGAGGTCCTGGATATGAATCCAGGGGAGGGAAATATTATTATGATGAGTAGGAGCATTTGTACCTAAGTCATGGATGTTGATATATATTTCTAGATAAATTTACTCATATTATATAATTGGTGTACAAAAAATAAATAATAAATCAAAGATATTACCCAAAAAGCAATGACTTTAAAATGTTATACATCGTGGACACCCTACAATAAGAGAATAAAGAATAAGAATCTGCAAATTTTTATTTGCTGCAAGAAATAAATAGGAATAGATTAGTTTATTTTATAAGAGACATGAAAATGCTTATTTCGTACTTAGTTATCAAGTATCCAAAATTAAAAATAATTACCAAAATATATTTACGCACATGTCTTTCGAGACTGAAAAAATCGTTCTTTGATGTATTCCTTATGGTCAAGACAAGGTTTGTATGAATGTTTTTTAAGTCCACCAGAAACCACTCTAATATTTAGAAATCAGGTGATGTTTTTATATTTAAATCTTAATGCTTTTCAAATGGTTTACTTTCGATTTGTCACTAGAAATAAAGTTCTTACAATATGTTTCGACGTACAAAAAACTTAAGCAAAATCTCATTGCTCTGAACGTAGTCTAGTTTTTGCAATGATTAATTTATATTTGATAATTATTGAATGATTTTATGTTCGCGGCAAACAAACGTTGGTAAGAGGCTACCACAGCCTATAGACGCTTACGAAACCAAAAATATTACACACACCGTTGCCTACCCTGAACCTATCCCCTACCCCGCTGAGAACTGTCAGTCTATTCGCTAACTTTTTTGACATTAACATTAAAATTGCATATCCATCGTTGCTTTTCAGAACAAGTACCTTAGTGGCGTTATAATAAACCAGTAGTGATCGCTGAATAGCTTGGTGATTATCACTTCCATCTGTCAAAAGCAGTTAGCGAATAAGTCTACTGAAACCTTACTCACCGACAAAACTCAACACTACTAAAAGGTAACTAGAGGTCTTACTGTGATCTTCTATAATGTAGAGGTTACGTGCTCGCTCACAGATGGGCGTTGCAATTCTAGCCGGAATACCGGCTAATGCCTACCTCTCTTTTCGATATGCATCCTCGAGATTTATATTCACCAGGTACACTCTTCAAAATCGTCCTACAGAGCGTTCCGTTCAAGCGTTAATTCAGAAATATACTTATTTGCCGTGTTGTGTTGTGACGCGATCAGTTTCATACATTTAGTACGGTTAGAATTTGTGTGTCGCGATGTGTCGACAATGTTCTCACTTTAACCATACTAAATAAACATACTAACTCATTTTTTAATGGGGTACCTACTAAGAACTTGGTTAGTTCAATGTTTAGAAAACCCCGATATGCGTTTTCACGGCAAAAACGTCGCTATTCCTTTCATGTTCTTCTCTTCAGGGCACAACACTGGAGTTAGAGAGCAGTATTACCATGCTCGGTATGGAAATTCGCTGTGATTTAAATCCAAAGAATCACATTGATAGCGTGGTAAAAATGGCCTTACGCAAACTCTGAGTCCTGAACAAGGTGTGGTGTTTTTTCACGCCCGAGCAACTGGAGCTCAGCCAAGTACTTGCTCGATGCTTTGGATAGGTTACAGCGGCGCACGATTAGCATTATAGGCGATGAGGAGGTGAATAAACACCTCGAGCCTCTTCAATGACTCCGTTACGTGGCGTCACTAAGCGCGTTCTATCATCTGTACCACGGCGAGTGTTCTGAGGAGTTATTCTCTCTTATTCCACCTTCCCCTTTCCTTCAAAGGACTACGCGCGCTGGCCTACGTTGTCACCGTCTAACTGTGGCTACAATTCCAACGCGTACAAAAAAATTTGGTGACTCATTTCTTTGTAGCACTATCCGTGAATTGAATTCTCTGCCTGCTCACGTGTTCCCTCCTTCTTACAACCTGGAATCCTTTATAAGAGGCGTGAAGAAGCAACATGCAGGCCGGCAAAGTGAGGATGGCTGGTGTGGCAGGTAGAACTGCTGTACCTGCTAACTTCACGTCTGGACTTCACCGTCAGTTAACATCAGATAGGGTGGAATTTGTTGGACCTATCTATAAAAAATGTTTGAAACAGATAGCTCTCTGAAAACGTAGCGTCACAACACAACACGACAGATAGGTGT